CTCTCAACTGCTACCACAGAACAGTTCATGCTGTTTTCCTGATCGGTCGTGGGGTAGCGCGTTTTACGGTGGGTGGCCGGAATTTTCGTTTTTGTTGTCAACTCTTCCGCTTGCCAATCAAGAACACCGCCAAATGCGCCCATTATGCTATTGTCGATTAGCATGTTATCTGGTCCCAACGACGGTAGCACTAGAGCTTCAACAGGTGAAGTGATTTCTCTTAGTGTTAGTTCGAATGGAGTGTACCCTTTAATTTTCAGGGGCGAACCATCAGCGCTGCGCAAACTGATTGCTCCTGTGGGTACTGGAAATATTTTCGTGTTTTTCAGCGTTTTGTGACTTCTCATGAACTTGTGTGATATGCATGGTATGTCACACGCTGTGTCGATTGTAATTTCATCAACCGACTCATTGTTTATTCTGGCGGATACACGTACTCGCTTGGATGTCGATCGTAACACCGATGGACACACGGGGTATCCAGCGAGTGCAGACATGTAAAAAGCATGAAATTCTTCATTATTATCAGTCCTCATTAGGTTCGACCTATATTTGGACCTGAAGTCTCCAGCTACGGTAGCTACGTGCAAAGCTTGCGGCGCTAAACTTGCTGCTACTTGCTTCACTTGGGTGCTATCCCTTGCTGCTGGATCTAAAGAGTCTACTGCATCAGTTGTGCCAGTACTCGACGTGGGAATTTCCCGCGTTTGCTTGCTGCTACAAACTTCGCAAGAATTTTCTCGTGATTCAGNGCTACGTGCAAAGCTTGCGGCGCTAAACTTGCTGCTACTTGCTTCACTTGGGTGCTATCCCTTGCTGCTGGATCTAAAGAGTCTACTGCATCAGTTGTGCCAGTGCTCGACGTGGGCATTTCCACTGTTTTACAGCACTGCTCTCTGCCTGCTCTTCCTTTTGTTTCCCCCAGAGGTCGTACACCATTTCTACAGTGTTTTGTATCCCTCTCATCTACTTTGTCTCTCTTTTGCTTATTCTTGCTTTGCAGCCTATCCCAGCTTTTACGTACTGGTTTGAAACAACCAAAGGATTGGTGTCCCATGTTGGCCGAGGGATGCTGCCTACTCGGGCGACCCTACTTTTAGTATCTTTGTACCCCTCTTGCTTCGCTCTCTCTTCATTTTTGCACTCAGATCGCGGGTGCGTGAATCTTTGGTTGCTGAACTTGCACCCGATAAAATCGCACTGGACTTCATCACGTGTGTCCGGTTTGGTACTATTGGCAAAGGTGACTTTCGGCTTAGTGCGGGTGGTTGGTCCACGCGACCGATCGCGGTCACTTTTGTCCGCCGCTTTCCGCGGGTTACGGCCCTGCTGTTGTGTGTACGCAGCCCCGCTCGCCACGAACGCATCTTGACCCGAAATCAAATTCTCCAGGGCCGAGATGCGGTTTTGGTGGTCAGCTGTTGCATGTTGGAGCTGCTCAGCATGAGCAGGACCATGTACAGCGGAAGCGGTAGCCGAGACGGGGGCAGAGGGAGAGCGCAGGTTGTTGGACTCGTGTCTACGAGCACGCGCTTTAGATTCCATGAAAGATTCGGATGGATCTGCCCTCATCATTTCCACGCGGATGTGCGGGTGTACACCGTTTTCGAAAGATGCAGTGAGAGCTTGAGTAAAAGCGTGTTCGTGAGGTGGTACGTTCAGCGGAGCTGTGCGTTCGGCTTCTGCTAAAAGCCTGGCGTACGTGCGGGTTACTCTGAGCGCAAATTTGTCAACGCATTCGCTACTCTTTGCTTCAAATGTCATGACACCACGTGCAAAGAGCGATTCTGTTGGCAGGGGCGAACGAAGTAGTGAAAGCGGTGACCCACTCTTTCCATGTTTTCGGAGGTGAGATTCGGATTGCCTCCCCACGCGCACGCAACGCATGCAGCTGGGCTGGTGGTCGCCATTCGAGTGATGAGCTAAGCATGAGGCTGAGGCTTTGAGCTGCAGTAGTACCTCGTACGAAAAGTGGGAGGTGTCTGATTGCACGGTGATCGATTGTGCTTTGAGAGACGTTGTCGGCGGACAATAGCCCGATTTTTTCCGGAACATCTTCGTGAGGCAGACCTTCGAGCTTGTGGTCAGCCGGGAGGTCGGTAGCCTTCAATATGAATCATGTCGTGCTAATCACGCCCTGGTTTGCCGTGTTCTGGCTTTCCGGGTTAGACGTGTCCTGGTTTACCGTTTGCTGGTTTACCTAGCTCATTGGTGTTTGGTTTACCGCGTTGAGGTTGTGCGGGGTATTGTGTGAAATTGTTGTGTTCTGATGAGCAGAAGAAAGTTGCGGAACACTCGGGGTGCGCATGCTAGAACTATTTTCTGCTGCTAGATCCTGGGCAAGCGATCTCGGGTTCACCTTTTCTATGTCGTTCTGGTGGCCGGCGCCTGGCATGAGCATCTTGATGACCCAGGCTGGGGGCTCCTCCCCGGCCTTCGCTGCTTTCTGGACCTCAGCGACCAGAACTGACTCGAGTGGGCTGCCGCTCGACAGGAGCGACGCGCCCGGTTGACGGGGTGCTTTCGCGCGGTCCCGCAGGATATCCTGCGCGAGGCCGTCGTCGTAGTCATGCCCGTCTACGTCGTCGTCGTCGACTTCCCCCCACGCGCGTCCATCACCGTTGCCGGTGTGGACGTCGTCGTCGGTTCGACTCCCGATGTTATCGTCGTGAGCAGACTCAGCATCACTGCTGTCGTTGTCCGCATGGCTCTCATCTCCGTCGGCAAGAGGACCGAAGGAGCCGATGCTGCTGCTGTTTGTGCTCGACGGGGTTGCTAAGCCCGCGGAAGCACCAGCATTCTGTCCAGCGCGCCTCGCCTTATGCTGTCCCTTTTCGGGCTTAGCGGCGGGCTTTNAATTGGCGTATTTGCTTTCTTTTTGTTGCCTCCCATGTTTCAGACGTGGGTTACGGCGGGAAAGAAAAACGCTTCGTCGAACGCCAATATGGATAAGAGGGTTTCGTCCTCGACAGACGTTGGGGAGTTTCAACCTTTATGAAGGTGTTCTCCACACTACACCTAAAGATTATAGACTACCATATTTCCCTTCGAAATTTGAATTTCCCAAATTTGAACTTCGAGCTTGCGTTGCTTCTTCTGTAGACTTGCATGTGTATGGCTAAATAGTGTACACGCGGAGATACACTGGTGTCCATCACCAGACCCCCTCCTTACCCGCTGGCTTCTTGAGCCCAACACCAGTAGAGTGTTTTTGTTTTCCCTGCGGCCGTGCTGGAGCGAGAGGTATGTATGTGTTCTGGTAAATCCAGAGTACCAATTGAGTCTCTCCCTCCCCAACCTTCCCCAACCTTGTGTGTTCAATCCGTACATGAGCAATGTCGCTTCCAGCATGTCGTACCGACACTCGCATGTCCGTGGTAGCAGCCGTAACATCGTGCTAGTGCCTAGTGAGGTCGCTGGTTACTTCGTTCGGTGTTTCATATTTTTATTGTTGGTGGCGGAGCGCAAATAGATACCACGTCTAGTGGAACACATATTAAGGCGATGATATTTATCTGGGGAGAAGTTTTTTATTGTTTATTGACAGGAACAGTCAATTTTAGAGATTCTTTGCCCTGGCATGTCGCAGGATACCGGTACATGGATTGCACCACACAACGAACAAACACGCCCCCCCTGCCACCTACCCCATCACCCCCATCACCCGAGAAGCAGCACGATGATATGTGGTGACACGCCCCCCACTGAATCTCCTCCAACCTACCCAACCCACGCCGCCCCACGCTAGGACCCGAGAAACCGGTTTGTCTGCAGGTCTTCCGTTCATTTACCCCGTACCTCCGCTATATCCCTTGAAGCGTCAGGCCTTTTGCGCTATCCTCGCCGTGCTTTCCTGCGAAAACCTGCGCAGTGTTTTGGGATTAGTTTTTCCTGGTAGGACCGCATCACAGTTCGGTTCTGCCAGGTTGCTGTCGGTATCGAGCGGTAAATCCCCAACACCATATTGCTGAGCGTATCCCTATCCCGCATGACTGAGACCCAACCGATACATCACTCACCCCCCCCATACGCGTTTTGTAGGCTCCAGGAGCCTCGTACTCGCACGGGGCCGTGTTCAACAGCGCGGCCCACGTATGAGATGCGCCATCCTCGCCACTGGCGCATTCGTGAAGTCGAACAGGTGGACGAAGGACAACGAGGAGCTCGTCCCCTATACCCCAACCACCACCGACTGCCACGCCAAGAGGGCCGTTTACGAGTTGATGCGCTATGTGGGCACCGTGGCCATTTCGGACAAAGATGTCCAAAGTGAGCGAACATGGTAGTCCTGGGAGCAACATTTTTTTCCCTTGTGCGTTCAAACATGTCACGAGCCCGGCAGCCGATGTCAGGTGTACCCGCTCGACTGCAAGTCCCTGCGCTTTCGTATGTTGACTCGTCTGCATTTCATAGAGCCACAAAGTGTTGAGGACGTTGCGCTAGAGTGCCATCATTGATTTACAACGCGAGGTGAGCACCCGCGGTTGGCGTTTGTAAAAGTCTCCCAAGAAAGTGACCATCAAACATATGTCCGGTCAATCACCAGCCGCGTGTAGCATGGCCGAAATTTCAGTTGTGAATTCAGATGACAACGTTCGGCGTGTGATTGTTTCCATTCCGTCATAACACGCACACCGCTTCTGCCTGCCCGCCTCATGCCTGCATGCGTACGACTACTTCCTGTGCCTTCCTCCACGTCTGCTTTATATACGGTCGGCCTGTCCTTGTGGGACTTGCGAAGTGACGTGGCGGTTTCTTGGACGAGGATAAACACGCCAACCGCACGTTTCTTGTCTCTGAGGGCTGGCAACTCTCAACCCACTCCAATCGCGGATACACGTCGTCGCCTTCTTCCTGGACTACGACATGAAGGGAGCAACAATTAAGAAACCTGTCAGCGTTTTCGTACAAGGGACACTGACCAACACCTCCTCTCGCGTTGTTCCCGCAACAGGTGTACCGGGCTTTCAACTTTGAGTTCCTCCGGCAGGTGCTGCATGAAGGGCTTCAAGCCATAGTCCCAGGCTTTACGCCCCGCCCGGAAGTCTTGTTTGGCAAGGACACCACTCACGACCACCTATGCGACGAGGTGATATGCCTGGACGCCGTTGTTTTTTTTCGTGTTGTATGTGTGGTTTATTATTGACGCCGTTTTTTCGTGTCGTAGGTGTGTGATTTATTTATTTTGGACGCGTAGATTTCGAACTATTGTTTGCGAAGCAATTTAGCCCCTCGTTGACCATTGGTATAGCAACGCGAGGCACATGCACAAAGGCCACAATACTGCTAACTCTTGCCATATCCGTCCCCCCCGCAGGCGCTTTCGCTCTACCCTAGATAATGAAACCCATCGCCAAAGCGGCAATCATGGCGGTTCGTCATGAGCCTGTTCCCGATGGCGAGACCGACGAAGGGTTCGATGAGATGCTTAAGACAGTCGAGTGGCAGGTAAATTGTGTGCTGGAGGAGAAGGGCAAGAGCGTCTACGAGCACGCCCAGAGGTTTTTCGTTGCCACGTGAGTAAAGCTTTCATGTATTATTGTGCCGCGTGCGACAACTCCTTCATTTGGGCAGGGAAATTCTGCTGCTTGGCTCTTAAAAGGATTTGTGCCTGGTCCTGTTTGTTTTCATCTGTCGTTCGTGCGGGGGTACGTATGCATCAAGAGTGGCAATGAGAGGCCAGGTATCTCTTCCGTCCTACACCGTATGTTGTTGTCTCTTGTCGGTGTTGGCGCCCTCGCACAAAAATGATAAGGATCTGGGAGACCGGGTATCGGTTCCAGTTCGGCCCCGGAAGGATTGCCAGCAAACTTCTGGGCAAGAACGTCTCGGGCATCACGGAGCAAGACGCCGTCAACGCCTTCATCCCATACCTGGACAGTGAGTCTGCCATAGGATTCCCTTCAGCATCGTCGATTACATTAGTGTTTCAGCTCCTTTTCATTTTTTTGCGCAAGTTTTTTCCGTCTCGGCCATCTCCCTGTCTTTTGCCCCCAGGTTCCGGGGGAATGCGGGAACGTGTCGAATTTTTTGCCACACCGCGTGTTGCAGTTTCCCTTGATTAGCTTCCCGCCTCTCCCCCCCGCTTGTGCATTGTGGTGTTTGTGCGTTCCCTCTAATGTTGATCTAAAATTGACACCCTCCAATTGATAACCCCCCCCCCCCCTAGCCATTGGAGNTGATCACATTGCGCGTCTTTACTTGGTCACGTACCCTCGAGGCACTTTTTCGCAGCGCTTACAGCTGTTTCTGAAAAAGGAAACGGCAAAACATTTATTCAGTCATTCGCAGCTGTCACCCGAATTCAAAGGAAGTAAGCACAAGATGCCGAACACCCTTCGCGGGATGCAGCGCACCCTCCATGCGACTCGGTATTTCACGGCTCTTTCCGCTTGGTGATTGCGAGCCTGGTCCGGCGAGAACCCCGCTTGCTCCGTCCCGGCATTGTAGGGGTGCGAGGCCAATGGTCTAACGACTACGGTTATGGTTTGGGTCAGGGATACTCCGGGCTAGTGGTAACGAAACGCCAGCTGTCCTGCGATTTTTCCATGAGTGTTATTTCACCAACAATAATTACTCCCCGACCGGAAATCATATTTCACTAGACCACGGTAAATTCACACCGAGACGTGTGTGGTGGTGATTGTTGAAGTACATTCGTCCTGCCTATGACAGAGTAGCACAAGTTTTTGAATCTCGAATGTATCCATTAACCGCACCCAGACGGTAGTTCTTGTCCCCGCGTGTTTGCGTGCGATCGTAAGCAGCGAAGTCAATATGGTGCTAGCAAAGTGCCCCATCCTCTAACACCACTCCATAAACATCTATCTTCCTCTTGGTGACCGTTTTGTTCCGCGCTGGCTCCCGTTCGTCTACCCCCCTTCCCCAAATCTTCGGTACACACAGACCCCACCAACGGTCCGGGCTTCGACGACGACGGCAACGAAATTGACGGCGAAGAAGACGGCAATGGCTTGGGAGGCGATGGCTCGGGCGGCGACCGCGGCACCANAAGTCAATATGGTGCTAGCAAAGTGCCCCATCCTCTAACACCACTCCATAAACATCTATCTTCCTCTTGGTGACCGTTTTGTTCCGCGCTGGCTCCCGTTCGTCTACCCCCCTTCCCCAAATCTTCGGT